CGATTAGGGGACGGTGGCGCCACAGATGCCACTGTGTGGACTTAGGGGGACTTATTATAAAACTATTGAATTACAGAAGTGTCCAGTTCCTTGAGTGGTATGTGTGAATAACATATCTTCAAATAACATTCAACAAATGTACTTTGTCTTCAACATTCAGCAGCATGCAGGTCCAGACCTGTTGCTTAGCTTTTCATCTGTTTCCGTTTTCTCACATTCTCAGTCTGCTTTGTTCTGTTCAACACTATGTGCACCCTTTAATGCCCTCATACCATCAACATTGTAGATAAACTGATAGATAAGCTTAGTTTCTGGCTCTACTGGATCCATATATACTGCAGTGAACCTTGAGCATGGGTGTGACCTCAAATGCTCCCAGTGATAAACAGGTTTCACATCTTACACACTAAGCCCTCACATGTACACTAATGCACTAATCACTCTTCACACACTTCCCAATTTTAACTGCACAGAGCACGCTGTTCATGCAGTTTATCTCTTCATCTTCACCTTCAGTAGTCAGACACCCATGTATCTGTTTTAAAGCGGAACCAATTAGCTAATTGACCAATTAGTCGTTTTCAAATTTCACCATGGGCTTCACAGGAAATTGTGTTGTCACTTTTCGGCATCAAATATCAGCCGTGTTTTAATGTTGTAGCTGGTTGAGGCAGAGATTACAGGGTTTGGCAGTTAAAAGATCTGATAACTGGTCATCATGTGTTTTGTCTATAAAATTGCAGGCATGCAGAGCAGTACTGAAATACTCCATTACAGGTAAAAGTCCTGCAATCAAATTCTTACTAAAGTAAAAGTACAAAAGTTGAGCATAGAAATATACTTAAAGTACATGTGCAAAATTTCTGAATAGTATATGTTATAATTTTGGATTATGATCTTTGTTCATTCTTCATCACTTTAATGTTGAAGCAGGTAAAAGTGGAGCTAATTTTAATTACTTTATCCTTTCCTTATCTTAATATATAATAATAGGTAGGCTACATCATCATTTGTAAATTGATTTAGCTTATATTTTCTATTAATAATTTGAATCTGCAAAGTAGGCCCAACTATGGTCTATCAAACAATTAAGTAGCAGAAAATGGAAACTAAAGCACAAGTAGGCTACCTCAAAATTGTACTTAAGCAAGTTACTAACTAAATGTAATACAGTACAAAGTACATAAACATAGAGTATGTAAAGTAGCCCAGACCTGGTGTATGATGATGTATGATGTACTTCGTTACATTATAACGAATAAGACCTACCTAAGTTAGCATTACTGAGTAGTTATGTTATTACTCTAACTTAGTTAGCAGTTAGCTAACTAAGTTAGAGTAATAGAGAGAGTTAGTTAGTTAGTTAGTTAGTTAGTTAGAGAGTTAGTAACTTAGTTAGCAGTTAGCTAACTAAGTTACTTAGTTAAGTTTCACAACAACAACAACTAACTCGCTTTGCGTGTGTGTATGTGTGTGTGTGTGTTTACCTGGAGAGTCTTGAAGAACATGTTTGGAAGTTGTTCGTGTTAATTATGCAGTTCAATCAGAGAAAACTACTACATCCAACAAGGAAATGTGTTCCCTATTGCAGCTCTGTCTGGTCTCATAAACGTTATTCATTAAAATCGACTAATCATAAATGATCATTTAACATTAACATTAACACTAACTGCTCATTGTTTCTCTTCCGCATTTTTCCCGAGTGCCGTACCCTGTTAATGTGCGCATGGTGTCAGGTAAGGTGTGCCGTTGCACCTGGAACCGCTGACGTCACCTTTTACCAAAACAGGACCAAATAGTGTTGCGTTCAATATCAATGGGAAATATGAACTTTAAAAAAAAACGTTTTATTTTAACATAAATAGCCAACTATTGGATGTCTTTCAAGTCGGTTTGCTGAGAGGAAATGCTTTGGAAAATACTTAACTAACTCATTATATATGACAAAGCCACCATCCCTCCCACACAAAAAGGGAAAAGGATGCGTAACAAGTACTAAGAATTCATATCAGTGGTGGAAAGCAGAACCATTTGCCTCTAGTGGAAAGTAACTAAATGCATTTACTGTACCCTAATGAGGTATAAATTTCAATTTTCATTTGGATTCCTTAATATACACTAGTGCTGAACAGAAAGTGAAGGGTGGTATTAATGTACTTCTGAATGTCACATTTTAAAGAAAATAAATCTTTACGTACAATGCAGGTAATTAATCATGAATTAACACATCTTTATAGGCTATCAGCTTTACTAATGCTTCATCAGTATACAGTTTGAACATTGTACAGTGTGTCTGCATTTTCTGAATTATGTTTGTATGGCACTGACTAGCTCACAATATGTGTCACCTTACCATCACTTAGAAAATGTCTGTTCCATTCACTCAGTGATCGGTCTGTTAACGTCAGTCCGTGTTTTTCTCAGCAATGTCACATCTTGGAAGATGCACCTGCACACACCTTGCACATTATTTGCACTATTAGAAAGCAGCAGGTCTGGTTTTAAAGATACAATCCACTTTACATCTTGTTATGTGTCTGTGATCATGACAAAAAACACAAAAAGTTTTATCCCATCTGACCCGAATGCAGCACAAGGTCAAAGGCCTCTCCATCATTTTCCTATGTCCAACAACTTTGCAGTCAGTTATCAGTAATTATCCTCTGAAGCTGCAATGCAAAACTCCTGTTGCTAAGTCCACCAGCCATTTAGTTCAAATGCAATAACTGAACAGTGTGAGCATTCAGGGGCTGCTCAGAGATATGCAAACAGTGACTGTTAAACACTCCCTGAAAGGAGCCACTTAAATAAAACAGATGTCAAGGAAATTATTATCAAAAACATTGGTTGTATAGCAAAATAATCGTTTGCGCGTCATTCTGACATCACCTGCTTTACAGCTAAACCTTGCACTACAGAGCTGTTTTTCTTTGAGTGTGCATGTTAATGTTGTGCACACATCTCACAATCTCATCACATAATGTGAGCGGCTGTGGCTCAGAGGCAGAGCGGGTCATCCCCCAATGACGTTGGTTCGATCCCCAGCTCCTCCTGCCACGTGTTGAAGTATCCTTGAGCAAGATACTGAACCCCAAATTGCTCCCGAATTGGTGTGTAAAATTTGTGTATGTATGGGTTAGTTTCTGTTCGATGGATTTTTGCCATCACTGAGTAAATGTGTGTGGAAAGGTGAATGTGGCACCGTAGTGTAAAAGCGCTTTGAGTGTTCGGAAGAACTAGAAGGCGTATACAAGTACAGGTCCATTTACCATGTAAATATTTAAAATTTTTATTCATTTTCAATGAGTCTAATTTTTCAGGTTCATGCCAAATTACCAAGCTTCTGACAAATAACACAAATCACTGTTTTTATTGGAGTAAGGGAAGAAGGCTATTCCAAACAGAACATACAACAAAAAATTCTAATCAAGTATGGATAAAGACCAACATCTAATTTTCCTCCCCAATTTTAGCAGCTGTGTGTTAACATTTGCTGTTGATATTTTTGATTCACATGAATATTAAGTTTCAGATTCTTAATAACACCACCAAACATGTCAATGTCTTGTTACTAGTTATTTGGAACTGATGTTTACTAAACCCCACCACTCTCATTACATTTGCTTACCTATCAATTCTTTCATTTTTGGCACATACACAGTGCAATGACAATGATGGCAGATTTACCATCATCTCTCTGAGGACCATTCATGTTACCTCCTGAAATAAAAACTGTTACTGTAGCTAGGTAATTAAGCTAATATTAGCTCCATGAATATATCTAAATATATATCTTTAATAAATTATTAGTTATCATTAATCATTAGTTAAACTAGCAATGTGTTTTTGAGGCATCTCTCTGACTACAGCAATCCATCAACATGTGGAGGAATTCTCCTACATAGTAACTGTTACTCAGCTCTGATTGGACAATCACTCTTTAGCAGGATCAGTGATTTTCCTAGTATTTTTTTCAACTCCAGAGCCTACTTCTGTCCGACATAATGTAGCTTACTGGTAGCCTGAAGTTGCACTTTTCAACTTAACACCTTGGTCACTGCTGGAGTTGGAGATTATGAAGAAACATAACATGGATCTCCCCCCAAATATGGTGGGAAAGGAAGTTTTAATTAAAAAATCGACTTGAATCAGGATCTTTAAATCAAAAGTCAAATTGAATCGTGGATTTGGAGAATCGTGACAACACTGCCCTCTTCAGTAATGTACAGGTGAACCCTAGGACATTGTGAAATCACTTGTGGGTGTGGTTACAGATACTGTATAACATAGCACATGTATGATCACAGTCATCAGTGAAGCTGGGTATGGTCAGAGCTGAAACAGGCTTTAAAATTTCAACCAGAGAGGACAGCAAAACACAGCTTTTCAGCCTTCTGTTAAATTAGTCTTAAAGAGCTTGAGGTTTGGCGACACAGCTACAAACACTTTACTGAGAACAGTAAAGTTAGCAAATTTGAGTGGAAAACATCATGACATGTAGTCTGTATGAGACAGTGATGAGGTGACAGACAGTTGTGTCATAGTCAGTTGTCCCCTTGCCCTGAGCTCTTCCTGTAATTCTTACGATTGGTCTTACTGAAAGAGGTAAAGCCAAGGTTGGCCTCTTCTATCTTCTCTTCCTGGTCACCTTTTTTTTTCTGCACCCTTTTCTTCTTCTCTGGTTGTCCTACAGCTCCCCCCATGTATTTTTCCTCCACTCTTTGCTCAGCCTTTTCTACACTCTGGTCTGTTCTCTTTCCTCCAGCCTTTTGTTTCTCTCTGCCCTCCTCACCCTCCTCCTCCTCCTTCTCCTCCAGATGACTAAGGCGTGTCTCCTTCTCTTTGCTTCTCACAGGTGACAGCTGATCAGCAGGTTGTTCCTTCAGTTGCCCACTGGGTCTGGAGAAGATCATCTTCTGCTGGATGTTACAACAGGGATCACTCTGTCTCTCCTGCTGCTCTTTCCTCTGTTGCAGACTGGAAAGAAAGTGGTGAGCCACCCTGCTGTTGCTCTGATCGCTGGTCTCGGTCAGATCCTCCAGACTATAGTGGGTCCAGCGCTCAGGGTGCACCAGGTAGTCTGGGGTTCCTCTCTTCTTTGCTGGTGTGGGGCATCTTAATGGAGGGTGGCCCGTCTTCCTGCTTGGATGTAGAGGAAGAGACCAAGCAAACACTCCGTCTGTGACGTTATCCTGCTTCAAAGAGGAGGAGGCCAGCTGGGCAGCACTGTCCAGGCAGTCAAAGATGCTGTGGCTACGGTTTGAGAAAGCTGTGCCCCCTCCTCTCAGACTGAATGAACTCTGAGCCTGGTGTCCCACAGGTGGAGCAGAGGTGCCAACTTCCCGGTCGTCATCATTATCGTCATGGTGGTCCAACTCTGGGTCAATGGGAGCACTGCTAGGGTGTTCTTCAGGCTCAGATTCATCACTGGCTGACAGCTCATCCACATAATCACCCTTGTCGTCATCATTTTTCAGATCACACATCTTAACACCAAGACTCAGCTTGGCTAAATCACAAACCTGGTGAGGGTGAGAGAAAAAGAGGTCAGAACTCCAGCAACATCTGTGATATACTACACTGGGAGAATAACATATGTACATACATACACATATACACACACACACACACACATATACATTTACATATATGTACACATATATACATACACATTTATATATATTTTTATAATTGACCACATCACTGAAATAACCTAAACAACTGTGATTTTATTTAAGAGTGAGCAACGCGTTTTGCTTACAGCTTCCTCAGGTTCGCTCAGCAAAATTGCATGAGCGCCTACCAGCACCTCACTGTTGTTGGCAGTATATGGGAATTTTTGTTTAATATATATATATATATATATATATATATAGTAAAATAATTTTTTTTAAACTGTTTGACAGGAGACACAAAATCTCTATTGTGCGGGCGTGAACGGTCAGAATGTTTGCAGGAGCGGGAATGAGTGGACCCCAATAACACAGAATAAGACTAAAATATAGACACACATCTACGCAACACATTATTTTAATAAAACACAAAAAAATAATTATCATTATTATTTATATATGTTTGCCAGTTGTCCTTCCTGCATGCAGCAGTAAATATGCTGCTTTTAGCCAGGATAAAGTGTTTATCTTCATCTTTCTATTTCACTTCACTTCTTATTTCTCTATTATTATAGTTTGATCCTAATTTCTAAAATATGCTGCTCTGCTGCGCTTTGTCCATGTTTGTGATTGGTCATATGCAAACACCGCCCCTTTCATGTGACCGCGCTCACAACTGGTTTGGGAAAACCTGCATTTGAAAAGTAAAGTATAACCAGAAGGGGGGGCTGTACAACAAAGTGAAATTAGTCTATCGTTGGGTTTGACTCAGGTTCTCAAGGAAGCGGGCTCACTTTAACCAGGTAGATCACGATACCATGGTATCTATGCTACATGGCTAACCTGTAATGGAGCAGGTTACCTTCAGAGGACAGCCCAACCACTGACCATTCCGATCATCCAGTTGTAGCGTCCATGTGGTCTTTCTTGGTCTGCAGACTCACTGGCTCTTTATGAAACTGACGAAGCAAACCCCTCACCCACTGCCACTTACTTAAACTAGCCGTTTCCCTTAGCTTTTCCACATTACAATGTGAATGTGTGAAATGTAACGTCACGTGACTTAGCATGCTACTTCTAATGGATGTGAAGTGCGTTTGTTCCTTTAAAACACATCTCTTATCAGACATTAATACACACTACTATACACTACACACTCCTAAACTTTATGTTTAAACCGTTATTACTTTTGGGTTCATTTAAGTTAACGTTACCTCTGTTGTTGCTCATAGACTGTGTAGCGCCACTGTCAAATAATCTTCTTCTTCTGTGTATCTACTACTACTACTACTACTTCTTCTTCTTCTTCTTCTTCTTCTTCTTCTTCTTCTTTTTGATTTGATTGGCGGCTGGCA